AAAACATTTTTTATATGGCTTCATATGTGGTTTCATTTAAAATGTTTTGCTTTTGTTGCAGTAAACTGCTTTCTTTGGCGAAGTCTTCTACAGAAAAAAAACATAATCAATACTCAGCACTAGGTGACATCTCTTGTGGACAACTGTGACAGTGTGACAAGGAATTTGATTTTCCTGTACATTACATTTATGGCACAGTAATCTGTTTTGAATAAAAGTGTGAACTACATGGTCCAGCAGGTTTCTGTCCAGGCTTCATTATCAATGAGAATACAGCTGCATGAAGCAGAATGAAACGCAACAACCATTAAGCATTTTAAATTGTCTGCAACCTTTTTCTAAAAAAAAAAAAAAAGCGTGAACTGTTTTCTGGTTTAAGGAGTGGAGGGGTATAGAGCAGGGGTGCAGTACTGGATTTTGAGCAGTAGGTGGCAGTTTGTGTCACTGTTTCTTTGAAAAGGAGGAGGCAAGCACTGCAGTGAGGGAGGAAAGGGTGACTACAGTGCATCAGAAGGGGGAACAAAAAAGCCCTCTGATTCAAAGTCCCCAGCGGAGCAGAAATACTGGCGTGGTCAAAATCAAAGGGCTTCTTCAAGGTCGGCTGTCCAACCAGAGTGATTGAGACTAAATAAAAAAACAAGTATGAGTGTGTATGTGTGTTTCAGGGAGGGAGAATCAGTGAGAGACAAAGATAATGATCTAGACAGACAAACTGGCAGCCCGAAAGGCAAACGGCTCATCGGCCAAACGCACAGATACACTGACAAATCAGAGTACCGAGTCAACCTGACAACCAGGTAGGCAGAGACAAAGAACATAGAAAGATAAAGACTGCAGACTGCTTGCGTAGTCTGGGCATCGTACACAAACTGATGCCTCCATCCCCACCTATCTTTCCACCTGCTCAGCTTGTTCCGAGGGCTGACGGACTTGACGTGTTGGGTGCACACCAGTGCCTAGCCCGCCCTGCTCATTTAGTCCATGATCCATAACCCAAGCGCAGTTGTGGTGGTTCCGCCCTGGTCACCATCCCTGCTCCAAGTGGCCAAAAGAAAAAAGAAAAAAGATTGCAGCTTTAATGGGGGAGTGCAATGACTAAGTATTGCATATCCATCATTTTGGGGAACCCACAAGAAATATATTTAAAAAAGAAAGAATAAAAGCAGCAACTTGTAGTCCATAGTGTGGCTCAAGCCTCAAGCTCTAGAAACACTGAATACTCCAATTACCATAATACAACTTAATAAGATCTGTCATTTGGACCCCTCTCCCTCCTAAATACGTACTTCTTTTACATGCCACACCTGCAGTTTGTAACAAAAGCTTTCTGGTTAACACACACAGGGAAAGCGACATAATCATTGTTATTCTTCAAACTTTGGAGAGGTCCCTCCAGAACCACAGGGGGCATTATACAATTGTTTTTACTTGCTGAATAGTAATTTGACAGAGAAATAACTTAGCAGACATAACAGAAAAAAATCTAATTTGGGGCCATGTGATGCTCACATGCTGGGAAAAACACACCAACCTGCAAACTGTACATCAGGCCATGGACCAACTGCTTTACACTGTGAGTGTTTGTGTGTGTGTTCTCTTTTATAGCCTAATTTCCACCATCTAGGTCATGTACAGTGCCTCACTCATAACCTCCGTCTGCTGCAGTGTGTGTGTGTGTGTTTGTGTGTGTAAGAATAGTATTTAGGTGTGTGCATGGTACAAGCTGCTTTCACAGTGACCACCTATTTATACTCACTGTCCTGTCCCAAAAAAAAAGACTGACTCTGAAGCCCTCCCTCTTCCCTCATTCCCTCCTTCCCATCTGCCCTTACTTTTCTTTTCTCTATGCCTTCATACCCTTCGTTCCATCATTCATTTTCTGAGTAGCTGTGTGTGTGACAGTCAGAAAAAGATACAGACATGGAAGGACGTAGAGAAAGAGAAAGCAGAAATTGAGGCGATGGAGAGCGGGTTTGAGATGCACTGAACATGGAATTAAACGTGACCCATCCAGTTTCCTGCAGAGGAAAATCTCTCTCCGCTGGAAGCTGGTTGTCTTTTTGTTTGCTTCAGGTTCTATTAATCTCTATATTTTTCTCCCTGTATCTCTCATTCTCACACAACTTTCTCTTTGTCTCCTTGTCTCTGTTTAAAAACGGGCTCTCGAAAATGTCAATCCACCTCTCTATCTTTTCGTATTATCTTTGTATCAGTATCTCAACTCCCTTTGTCTCAGCTGTTTATGATAAATCCATCAGGGTTGTTCGATTTCAGATGTGGTGAGGCGAGCTGAAGCCTTGTGCTTCATGCATTAAATGCACCAATCAGTGCTCCTGCAGGGCTTGCTATTGGGTCATGGAGAAAATAATGTTTAAACATTAGCTAGTGGTCGATCATGCATGTGATTGAATGTACCCAGCCAAATTGCTTGTGTATGTGTGCAGGGGCAAGGTATTGTGTACGTCTTGCAAATCTAGATGCCTTACTTGTCCTGGTTGAAGGCTGTAACTGAAGCAATGAGCTGTTTTCTTTACAGGGATATGCACTCATACATAATACTGTTGCAAAAGCTGAATTTAGACAAATGGGTGTTGATCCTGGAACAGCAGCACATAATACCCAGGTGGCAGCATTTCAGAAGAAAACTGCATAAAATGCATCTCTTGGGACAGCCCAAAAGAGTTCCCTGTGGAAGACTGTTCATTGTTTGCTATTTGAGTGACACTCAAATAGCAAACAGAACTAAAAATGAAAGCATTTTTTTTCTCTGTTGGAGCTGGTGCCTGTCAAAATGGACTTAAATTGTCTATAATCAATAATTGAACCAAATATTTGGATTGTCTGAGCCACACAGAAACACACCCCTTGTCACAGCATTACATTCTGTGTCACAGTGTGTTTTGCTCGATAATGTATTCTCAGCTTCTAATTTTGATACTTCCCATAAAAGACAACATGAAAAATCATTTACTGTAATAGATATTAAGCCAAAGAAAGAAGGTAATAATTTAAGCAGTCATTTAAATATATTAGTATATAAAATGGAGTAGTTCAATATTTTGGAAAATATGCTCATTCCTGCTTGAAGTAAATTATCTACTTTGATTTAAAAAGTCAGAAAAATGACATGCTGTGCACTCCAGCACCTGATTTATATCTGAATGGATTTGCTGAGAATGACGTGTTTTACTGAAAGTGGTGGTTGATTCTGATGTAAATTTTCCTTTGTCTGAAAATCACTTTAGCAGAACTTTTTGCACACACAGCTCCATAGGAGATGAAGCACAGTTTACCTCCAAATCAGCTGCCCTGGGGATACACTGTCGCTGCCCATATTGAGACTATTTTTCTCCCCTCCTGTCGATAGCATCTACCACATGGCAAAATAACTCATAGAAAAGCCTGACCTTGGGTGTAGAGGTAAACACCTGGGACTGCTTTGGTGGGACTCTGTCAGTGAAATATGATTTAAACTTCAAGTTTTAGAACAAAAAGACAGAAAAATAACAATTTTCTATTTTTCTCTGTCTTCTATTTTCCTTCTCTGCTTAAATGCTATTTTGTTGTATATGAATGTGTGTGTTTGTACCTTTAATGACAGATTTGCTGTGTGAGTGCAGTTAAAGTGTGTGTGTGTGTGTGTGTGTGTGTGTTTTCAGTGTCCAAGGTGAATTGAGCTGATGGCTGATGGCATGCAGAGTGCTGACAAGACAAATGTTTCACCTTTACCCTTCTTTACTTTGTCCACTGTTTCTCTCACTCCTGTTGCACCAGTGCCCTTCCTTCATACCACACATACATACATCTATACAAAGTTACACTTTCTGTAAGCAAAGTGTATGGTTCACTGGCTCATAGTCAAGTAAAATAACACACACACACATGAACACACATCGTGACTATCAGAAGTTGAAAGTTCAGAAAGACAACACAAGGAAATGTACCACTGGTGGCATTACACTGCTTTATGATGTGAGTGTTACATAGACATTGCATGGGCTGCAATTTGGAAAAAGATATATTAATAAAAAAATTTATTCTTGTCAACACTCACATGAATGAACTGACAACGGAATCTATTTTAATAAGCTGCTGTAAGGTGTCAGCGTGTGTTTAATACAGTAAAAGACGAACAGTATATATAAATGTGTGTAGAGATTCCTCAGTAGCGTGAACAGACAGTCCAACTTTCTCTAATTGGAGAGAAAGACAGACGACCACCTATCTATTCTCTCTATTTTTTCTGATATGTCACTCTCTTCCTCCATCTTTTCCTCTCTCCATCCTCCACTCTTCCTGTCATACTTTGCATCGCTGTCTCTCCTTTCTGTCCGATAAGACCAGATGATATGATTTCATGCTCGGCTGTTGGAAGATATTCTCATAATTACTGCTGTAAGAAGGGAAGGCTAACAGATTCCTCCTCTCTCCGTCCCTCCCTATCCTCTCTCTTTCTGCTGCTCACACACAAAATTAATTGTACAGACATAGGTTTTGCTACCAAGGTAAGAAACACATACCGTCACGCAGTCTGATTTTAGACCTTTAGGATAACGTGGGGGCTAACTTTACCTGCCATACTCATATAGTTGTGTGTACATATAATTATTCTGTGGAATGGATTAATACCAACATCTCAGATGCACTCACTTTCAGTTACCTCCAAACAAAAGTGGTTTAGATAGACTGTTGCAGAAAAAAGTAAGACCCAAGTGGTATTAACCTCTAACTTTCTTTGTCACTTTCTCTGTTTTCTTCCAATAATCCTCTTCTACCTGCTTTAAATTTTTTCCCCTCTTTCCCTCTCTTACACATTCACACACACACCCTGACTCTGTCTGCCTCTGCAACTTTTGTTCACTCATCTTTTACCTCTTTCCCTCTCATCCTCTCATTCCCTTGGCCACTCCATTAACCAGAGGGTCACTTTTCCAGCTGGTTAGCCGAGGCCAGATTTCCATCAGGTCGCTGACGTACGAGACTGTCCCGCCATCTGTGTGTGTGTGTGTGTGTGTGTGTGACAGGTTCACACATTGCCACTAAAAGAAGAGAAACAACAAGACATGAACACAGCAGCTAAAAACACACATCCATGTTACTATTATAACAATGTGGATGTGTGCCAGGTAGCAACACTTACAGGGATGTCCAACGACGCCCAAAGCCTCCAAAGTCAGCTGCAGCTTTGGCAGGAGACTCTTATGATTTATCCAACCTACCTCTGAAGGATATCATGGTACGAGCTTTTCATTCAACGGTATTCTTTCCCGTGTTTACACAAATAAAAATATATATCTGTGTCCCAGACTGAAGAGGCAGCAGTCTGTTTTAAGTAGACATCCAGTGCCAGACAGCTTCAAGGAGACTAACATTGTCTTTTTGTCTTAAATCATCCACTGGTCTTGGTCTTGGTCTGGTCCCTCCATGTCCACCTGACGGAACAGAACAGAGTAAAAGTTGTTATTTCTCTGTTTGGGGAGAGGAAAGGAAGCTAAAAAGGAAACAACAGTGTATTTTAGATTTTTAATAACAGTTTGATCCAAGTCAAGGTTAACGGCATTAATGTTACACTGGCCTCAGTCATTCACTGTACTGGCATGGAAAAGGATTTTTCTACAACTCATACATTAAAGCACCTCATTGATCTCGCCGTCATCAGGTGACTCGTTGTAGTCATTCATCTCATCCATGTCCTGCATGTCTTCCTCATCTTCAGAGTCTTCCTCGCTGTCCTCCTCATCCTCGTCATCCTCCTCTTCCTCTTCATCGTTATATCCTGCCTGCGCCACAGTAAAGGCAGATGACATAAGCAATGGAGGAGGAAACTATGGACCATGTGTGTTTCACACTGTGGCATGGTCTGTTGATTATATTTTAAAACACACTACCTCAAAAATAGGTTTCCCAATGGGCATCAGGTTGCTGTCTTTCTCAGCGATGCTCTGCAGCTGAGACAGAGACGGACAGAGCACACATGTTAGACTACAAGCATAAAGAGTGTATAATAGTGTACATACAACTCTTAATCTCTGTTCATTATATCTTGTTTTTGTCTGTTGTATCTTTATTTAATGTGTATTTCTGATGTGTTGTGTTGTATTTGTTGTATCTGGAGCTGCTGTAGTGAGTGGATTTCCCCAATGTGGGATCAGTGCAGTCCATGTCCACATCCTAAGACCGTGTGTCCGCAGAGGGGTTTACCCAGGTGTGGTGCTGCTGCTCCTGCTGGAACAGCTCGGTCTCGTCCACACAGGGTCGGTCCAAGTTGAACCACAGCGACTCCGTTATCCGGGGGAAGAGAGAGGGGAAGAGCGTGGACATGTCTGCCACAGGGGACAACAACAAACAACAAACAAACACAGTGTCAACAAGCGAGGCTTTATTTAGTCTATGTGGAGCTTTTACCCTCCAAAAAAAACGGTAAACCCGGGTATTCACGTAAGAAATGGCACCGTAAGGTATGTGTCAGCTAATGTAACATAAACAGTATTGAACTCGGCGCAGGATGTTGGGGGGACACGGTGAGGAGCCAGCTCACATCGTTAAAATACGATTTAAAGTCTTCCTGTTTTCTGACATACAAACTCTAAAACTGTCCTCACCGGGAATCATATCGGTAAAAAATACGCAATATAATGTAATATTTACGTGTAATGCACAGCGGAATCATAAACAGAGTGAGTACCTGCCAGTCTCTCGCTCCAGCTTTCAAAATTTCAAAATAAATTTAACCGGAAGCCGTTGGTGTTCACCTATACATATGTCCGGTGTCCTGTTGGTCAGTGTCACCGCACAAAGGTTCCGCTTGTGAGGAGTAGTAGTAGAGCCAAGAAAGTGAAGCAAATACATTAATGTGCTGAACTAGCATGTTGATAGCGATGTAAATATTCTATAAAGTAATACAAATCTGTCCCGATGTATTCAGTCACATAGATAAATGAATCTATATACATGATAAATGATAAATATCTCAATAACAGCGAGGGACACCTGTTGATAACCAGAGATATTGTCTGTTACAAAGGAGTTTTCTTTCATCTGTGAGCCTTATCTGTGTACTAGAGTACAGTTTGTCCGTATTAATTGCACTGTAAATGATTTTTTCACATAGTCTGTAGGGAATTTCTAACGAATCTTCTAACAATGAACAAATTAGCTTGAAATCAACCTTACTTTTACTTTTCAGAGCAACATGGTTTCACAGGGTTGACACACATCATCGTTTCCCCTCTGTTTACTGTCTTTGAAGGTGTAGGGGTTACACTACTTAA